CATAAATGAAGACAGAAAACTAAACAGCAGTGACTTTTATAGGGTTACTGAAGTCGGACTAGCTGGTATATAAAGATGTCCTATGTGATCGCTAGCAAAACAGCCACATTAGCATAACATTAGCACAGTGAAGCTGAGGGATGAACGCAAACTTTTTCCCACTCGATAAAAGTTAACGTGAGGGTTTCTGGTGGTTAGGGACAAATGCAATTGCATGGCAGGATGCTGTAAACGGACCAAACTTCAGTCAGGAGAACAACTGAGGTTAATACTGCAACAACATGGGAATAGAGCAGCTGCGAGAGAATTCAGCATTGATGAATCAATGGTAGGTAAGTGGAGGAAGCGCAGTTTTTGGCTTTCCCCACATTCCAAAAGTGTTTCATCTCTTTGCTGTTACTGTCGCCCGGCATAATTTGCAGATGATGTTGTTTGCAGCCGTTGCAATGCTTTCGACCAAAACAGGTGCAGCTTGATGACACCATCAACATGCGCTATCGCGGTAGAGCGGTTTAGTCAAAATCTCTACCGTTGGCCAAATTTATATCGTTTCTACCGTATACCGTTTTTACCGCCCACCCCTATCTCTCAGTATTTTTGTATATAATTGGTCTTTCTTTTCCAGCAGATATGCAACATGGTGGTCGTCGTGGAGGTGATCTCCTTTTTGGAGAAATATCCTATCACCAAAGAGGCACTGGAGGTAAGTTACAACATGTGCCATCAGCAAATAAAGCAATCAAATGCAGATTTTTAGCAGTCAAGTTTCATCCGCTGTTGAACAATCATCAATTTTATCTCCTCTTAAAGGAAACCCGCCTGGGCAAGCTCATCAACGACGTCCGGAAGAAAACCAAAAACGAGGACCTCGCAAAGAGAGCCAAGAAGCTTCTGCGGAACTGGCAGAAGCTAATCGAACCAGGGAAGGTTGAGGTGTTGTCAAAAGGCGGCACCAGTGCGTCATGGTCTTCCATTGGCGGTGCTCATCCTTGCATCTCTGCTCCAGCCGCCAACCCACCGTCGGGTAAAACGGGCCCAGAGTTGAAGAACAGAAATGATTTCAACAACTGCTCCCTGAGAGTGGAAAAACCGAGCAGCAAAAAACGCAAGGGCGAGCAGAAGGAAGGACCGATTTTACCAGCAAAGATACCCAAAACAACTCTTAATGATAAAATCCAAAACTCAAAGCAGCTGCAAACCAATGGAATTGGTACCGGCACAGAAATTTTTGCAGATATTCGTGCACATCAGTCTTTGGACAGGGACATTCCTGAGGCTTTGGACAACGACAAGCTAAATAAAATCCCTGTTCATGCTGTAAAACCTCACTCAAATTTCCCAGGATGCAGCAAGCCTCCTAGCACTTCCTCTTTGCTAAAAGCATCAGTTCTGCAGCAGCAAGCCAGACAGGAGCAAGCTGCCTCTGGGGGAAAGTGTCGACCCAGAAGCCCACGCTGTTCCTTGCACAGTCCTCAGACTCTAAAACAGGAAGCTGTTGTGAAACAAACTGCACCCCAAGCACAGAGTATTCCTACCCCCAGCGTGAGACCTGGGACTGTAGATAACTCTGGGCTCGGACTGTCTCCTCAGCCTTTCAGCGCATCTGTTCAGGGTTTTCACACTGATGGTTCAGGGTCTGCTGATTTGGACTCTCACCACCTGCCTCCTAGTATGTCTCTCCACGGCTCCACTGTCACCCCCTGCAGTGGCGTGGAGAGTCTGGAAGATGAGGGTCCTTCTTTTAATACAGGGAAAAGAAAAAGACAGAAATACAGACCTAAGGATTGCTCTGTTAATTTAGAAGGGCTGACTGTAGAAGACAGAACAAAACCAGTGAGGTTAAAAGACAGGAGGCTGACGTTCGATCCTGTAACGGGGCAGATCAAAACCTCCTTCCAGAAGGATTCTTTCCCAGAGGGCGAGGACAGACCGAATCACAAACCTGAGAATAACTGGTCAGAACAGCCGAAGCAAAATACGCCAGTTCCTCCCAGTCCTTTCCAGCAGACGGACTGGAAAGAGCTGTCGAGGAGCGAAATCATCCAGTCGTACCTTAGCCAGCAAAGCAATGTGCTGACGTCGTCGGGCGCGCACACCCCCGGTGCACACTTTTTCATGTCAGAGTTCCTGAAGAAGGAGGAGCACCGGAACAAAGATGCTAAGAAAACACACACGCTGGTTTCAGACTCGCCACCTGGAGAGATCCCTGGAGTCAGCAGAGAGGTGAATGGCAAAGACCTGAGCAGGTTACACACACAGCACTGGTCCGGGGTAAATGGTTGCTATGACACAATGGATAAATGGTACGACTGGACCGAGTGCATCTCCTTGGACCCGCACGGAGATGAGAGCAGGCTGAACATACTGCCCTACGTCTGCCTGGATTGAAACTGAAGTCAGGTCGGTAAATGAGACGTCGATCCTTGCCTTCCCTGCGTGGCAGAGCGGGCCGGGATGCGTGAAGACTCTTCTTCACCGTGTATGCTGCTGTTGGAGTAAATACGCTGCCTGCTCGAGTGTTTGTTGGAGCACAGGAGGTGTAATCAGTGTTTTATTTTGAAAAAGTCTGAACAAAACGTGAGGACAGTGTGAAGGGGAAAGGCTATGCATCTTTGACTGTTTAGATGTCAATGTTTAACAAGTGTACAGAGTGAGTTTACAAAGCAGGGAGACGAGCGGCTCTGATACCCACGAGTTTATATACTGGAGAGGAGATTAAATATACAGATGCATTTTATCCATCTTAAGTTATCTTATTCTATCCACATGCCTCACAGAATGTGACTTTATTGCTTTTCATGCAGTCATTCATAGTTTTTTGTTTTGTTTTTTTTTTTTTAATTGTTATTATGTAATTTTTATGCATTAACCGACTAAATCAGGGTTGCTGCTTTTGTCAGCAGGCAGTAGCACGATACATCATTGGAACGTTTGTTCATGCTTTTTGAACAAAGCGTTTGAGCTCTTAAAATTAAAACTGCTGCTTCCCGCAGCCGCACGCCTGCCTCTGGTTGTAACTTCTAGCAGATTGAACCGACGGATCGGTTTTAAAACATTTGAATATTTTTCTTGTTTGCTCGTTAATGTGATGTGAAACTTCCAGATGTGACCACTGTTTGTGGTGAGAGGGGGAGAAGGCTTGCATACAAGCTGATAGAGAAATTTGGCTGTATGTATATTTATTTACATATTGAGATTTGCATACATGTTTAAACTGTATTGAATCATCTTGTTAGTTTTTTGTTTTTTTTGTTGCAAGCAACAACAGTGAGGCTGCTACGGTGTTGTGTGATCTCGAAGACAGATTGATAAACAAGGCGTTTATCAATCTGTAGGCAAATGCTGTCAAAGCGGCAACGTCACAGTAGTGCAAGATTTTACAGATGTGTAGCTGACATTAAAATGAGGGGCCAGATTCATTGATGGTTTGTGATTTGACAACAATTTGGCATCTCATCTGTTGCAGTGTCATAATAGGGTTAGTAATCAGTTCACGAAGTGACATTCCAGACTTTACCTACTGATCCATCAACATGCTGTACTTTACACACTCAAATAACACATCCTGATACTGTGTACTTTTTATTTTTTGGGCTTGCCTTTTCCCTTTACTGTGTATTAAGGTTGTAAAATATGAATCAGCACGGCAGAGCAGATTGTGCTACCAGCTTGCATCCTTGTACTGTCAGGAAGAAGTGAGAAATAAATTGACATGCTGGATAATACTTAATAGCATTCCTTTAAATATTATTTGCCTTATGGAAACCCGTGTTTTCCCTAAAGACAGAGCCTTAGTGAATGTACAGGTATGATCCTTTTGTGTTCATTTGAATGCAAAAGACAATATATTTGCTACCTAGTCCTTTTCAATGGACATGTAATGTGTTAATAAAAAGAAAATGAAGGAAATGTTATTATGTCATCTCTTTAACCCCCCCACTCACACCCACACTCACTCCTTTTTTTTTTCCTTTTTTAAGGGCTCTGCAGTTACTGATGTTCCTGACCAATTAAATCCAGAACAAGTTCAGTACTGTCTCTGCATGTAAATCACTTATGTACATTTCCATTCATCACTAAGAGAAACGATTTCCATGATATTTTCATAATATAACTGGATAATAATACTAAAGTATTATACGTGTACTGTACTTAGTCGCAGCTCTAAATACAGCCTTTAAAAATCATGTGAAATTACCATACCATTGTGTTAGATGGCCTGACAATGACTTTGTATGAGTCTTCTAAAATCTGAATGTTCAGTTCCCTTTTTAAACACGTACAGTCTGAGACTGCATATTTCTACCAAGGCTTAACATCTACATCAGGGCTGGGCGGTAATTTTTCCTGAACTCAGATCTCCTCACAATAAATGTTATATGTTTACAAACTGATGGTGTCAATGATGGTCATTAACTTTGTGACAATAAAAGAGAAAAGGCTGAGACTGACAGTTATACTGGCTTTTTACAATAAACATGTACAATAATGGGTTATGTTTAAAATGTCTATACTCAGCATGACAGTACTTTTTGATAAAGGCACAGAGCTGTGTTTGTTTTAAAGTTTTCACTAGAGTTATCGTAGTTTTGTATTTTTTAAATTAGCTTTTATTTTTATTTCATTTTGACTTCTTGGTTTTAATTCAGTTTGTTTCCAGAGTTACATTTGTTTCAGTTTAGTTTTTATTGTTTGAAAATGTTCAGTCTTTTTAATTTTTATGTATCGAGACCATATGTCAGAGGCAAGGTTTAGAAAAATCAATCCAGGTATTGCAATAAAAACATTGAACTTTTTGAAAGCACTTAACTCACAGTCTCATCCAGAATCTCAATAAACACGACAATCAATCAAGCAAGTAGTAAGAAAGATTTTTTAAATCAAAGTAACACTAAATTAATTTAAATAATACTAAAGTTAAAACTATAGTATAAAACTTACTATAAAAACCTTGGTTTTAACGCGTATTTACAGATGTGAGCTGTACACTTCCGCCCACGGTGAACATCTTTCGACAGATACTGTTGTCTTTTATTTTGAAGGGTACGCCCGGAAGCGTTCGCGGCTGTGAGTGTGACGGATGAGCTTCTCCGGTGCATCCACACCACCGGTGACTCGTCACTCCGCGCTGGAAGATGGCTGCGGTGCAGCGGACCCCGGTCAGGGAAGGGATCCGGATAGTTTCGCTGTGTGTGTGCTGGTACACGGTCAGCTCGGGGGGAAATGTTGTCAACAAAATCATCCTCAATGGATTCCCGTACCCGGTCACGGTCTCTCTCTTTCATATCATCTCTATCGTCGTCTTCCTCCCCCCGCTGTTGCGGGCTTGGGGAGTCCCCAAAACAGAACTGCCGAGCAGGTACTACTGGTGGTACATCCTGCCTTTAGCTTTCGGAAAATATTTTGCCTCCGTGTCGGCTCACTTCAGCATATGGAAAGTGCCCGTGTCGTACGCGCATACCGGTGAGTACAGCGGCTTTGTGTTCGTTTTAATGCGCCGCCACCTGGAGCCTGTCAGCCGGGGTAACTTGATGATGTGTCCGTCCTGTCAGCCGATGTTAGCATCGCGGCTAACGCAGGGTGGCACGGCATTTAACCAGGCTGTGGGCCCCACGTAGAATCTGTGTACTGTAGGTCTTGTTTTAATGAGGCTAATTAATCTCGCTTCGTGTCCTCTTAATATAAACTAATTAGCTTTAGACTCTCCAAAGAATTATTAATGAGCTGCTGTTTGCTAGCTTCATAGCTAAGGGGGAGGGTCCATTAATGAGCCGCCGTGCTTCCCTAACTTAGATGTTAAACCACCATGTAACATGCGAGCCTCTGCAACTGATTTTTTCTCCTTTAACAAGCTTAAGTGACATTTTTGTGAGGCTACCTGCTGATAAATGTAAAAAAAAAAACCGGCTAATACATACATAGTCCTTTAAACATTGTTATTGAGCTGAAAGAAGCGAAAGCCACTATATAATAGTGTAGGAATACTGTTGGTAACGTAAAGGAAATATTAAGATCCGGCTGTGATTATGTTGCACCCAGGAAATGTACACCAGGCTGCTTAATCTATAAAAATGTATCATAATAATACTATCATGTCACTAATCTGAATGTTTTCTTAGTCCCTGTGTTAAGGGACAGGGCCATTTGGCACTTCCAGTACAAAGCATGAAAAACAGTTATTATCTGTTGCTAAACTCAACCTTGTTTCTGGTTGGACTTTTACAACCACATTATACAAGCACAATGGATTTACAGCAACTAACTGTATAAAACCACAATATACTCTACATGCAAAACTAAAGTAAATGCACATGTAAGAAAAATATAGTGCAAGATGCATAAATTAAAGTATTAATACTAATCTGAATCACAAGGGTAATCTTTACAGACAGCTATCAAACAAATGTTGTAAATTTAAAAACCCTGTATGGAACTTTTGTCTTTTTTCCCCACCCTATTTCTTTTTCTTTTTTTGCAAATAAAAGGTGAACCTTCTCATTTAATAGGACCGCAAATTACAGCCCCCAAAAGAACTATATAGTTGATCTGCATTTTTAAGAAAAAAAGCAGGAAGCATGTGCCTCTTATCCTGTGAAAGATGGAAATACACATATTAAACCCTCCTCAAGTTCAATTCAAATATTTCCTGTGGTATGTATCAACTGCACCTTTTTGAACTACTTTCACCTTTTGCATCTATTGTGTCATTTAAAGATTATTCCATTAATTTAGTTTCCACTGACTCCTGGGACTTGTGGCAGATGAATTTCATCAGCTCTGATTTCTCCACTCTCTCTCTTATTACCTGCAGATTCTGCAAGTTAGCAACACATGTCGAATTTCTCATTAATTGCGCCTTCAAACTCCACGGCACTGTAATGTAGCTACACGTTCCAACTTGAAACAACTCTAAAAGTCTCAATTTTATTTACTTATTTCTGTATTAAGTCTAGCAGATACTTAATAACTATTGATTTAGAGCAAGTCTGTAAATAAAATGTCACTGTAAAATACCTTTGTCGCCTCTGACCTGAGTTTTGGAGCCACAGCAGTTGCATCAGTGTTTTTACTTTAGGAATGGGCTTCTAACCTTGTGAACCTACACAATGACCATTCTATCTACTTTGTGTGACGCCAGTACTGAGTGCCTACTCTGGCATTGTTCTTCAGAAGAAAAAAAAACATAATGATAAACTGAGTTGCGCTTTAGTCTGTGTTTAAATGAAACAAGTGCAGTCGAGGGAGGTGTGCACACCCAAGGTTTGTGACAGGTTGGATGTTTGACAGAGGTGTGGGCCTAGCTCTGACGTACCGTGCCTACTTGCTGCCTGTTAATAGTTCATGTTTGTTCAAGAAAAA